GCATGTGTGGTTCCGCCCCCTTGCACCGGCCGAGGCGTAGCTGGCAAGCGGCAGAGACAGAGCAGGCCGACCACCAGCTGGCCCAGCTCAAGGGAGGTAAGGCACCCGCCGGAAAAGGGGGAAAAAAATGGCGGACAGCCTTGCTTGGCGACCCCCGTGAAATGGTCGATTGACCCCAAATGGGGTCGCGACCCATAGGTTGAGAACCGGTAGCCCAGAGGCACTTCAATCTCTATGTGTTTCAGATCTCACATCTGTATCTGAGATCCATGTTTAATGCATGATTTGGGTGTGTGTTATAGGATATATAGAGAAAAATGAGCTAGTGAACTTGAAGGCACAGTTCAAACTATGTAGCTGAATAAAGATACATGAAAATAATGGATGACTTGGATAGAGGAACTTGCCATGCTTTTGATTTGGTATCTTCATGTCACCAAAAATGGGAGGAAATAGGATTGAAAAGGCGAAAGACTGTCCTTTTATATGAAATCTGAATATCTTTGTTTTACAGCAGAATGGGACAATTTGCTAAAGTGCCAAATGAACACGGCCAATTCGTCATGGCCAACTCCCCAGGGGACAGCTCACCATGGGACAACTCACCATGGGCATTCAACAATTCAATTTAATTATTTAAAATAATTTAAAAATTATTTTATTTTTTGTCATTCATATTTCATTTTGTCCTTCCTTTTGCATCCTTTATTTAATGATTCTATTCCACCATTTGTTTGATATTAGTATAACTCTAGTCCTGCAGCGAGTTGGCCCTGGCAAGTTGTCCTGTGGCGAGTTGGCCGTGGCAAGTTGCCATAGACCCATTTTACAAGTAGTCCTTAATTTACACCCGGCAATTTTAGTGACCAAAGTTATAATGGCACTGGAAAAAAGGGACTTATGACTGCTTTTCCCAAGACCACATCAGCATCCCCACAGTCATGTGATCACAATTCAGATACTTGGCAACTGGCATGTATTTATGATGGTTACAGGCTGCCGGGATCACCTTTTGCAACCTTCTGACAAACAAAGTAAATAGGGAAGCCAGATTCACTTAACAACTCTGTTACTAATTTAACAACTGCACTGATTCACTTAACAACTGTGGCAACAAAGGTCATAAAATGGGGCAAAAGTCACTTAACAACAATCTCATTTAGCAACAGAAATGTTGGGCTCAATTGTGGTTGTATGTTGAGGACTATCTGTATAGAAAATCTACTACAGTTATTATGTAACTTGGCTAAAACATGTTCCACACAGTGGTGATCAGCTATTTGAATATCACGTGTGCTCCTGGAATAAAATGACTCAAAATTCACACCAAAGATAGAAACAAAAACCAATAATATGGGAATGCTGGTATTATTATGTTTATGTTTAGAAGTTTAAGTAAAGATTTTGTGTTAGTTGAAGTCCTATTATTTGGCATTTCATGTTTAATCTTAAAAATAATCATACATAAATCTTAGAATCACGTATACAGTAGGTTGGGGTTGTTGTTTTTTTTCATGAGAAGGAAAGAAGGTAGGAAATGATTTCTTCCCTTCTTTTCTTAAAACCTTACAATTCATCTTCTGAAAAGACAAACTGTTCACAAACATTCCACACGATAACCAAAAAGAATGCTCAAGCAGCAAGTTCGAGCAGCAATTTTTAACTAGTACAATCAAAATTGTTTTTCCCAGGGAAGCAAGAAGTATCTTAAGAATTGGTTATATTCTGCCTGCTCTCTGAAATCTCATAACGAGTTATTTCACAGATGAACCTAGAGAGTGATCCTCTCAAAGCATGGGTTGGACTCCAGGGCAGCTGCCTTCTCCAACCAACTTCATTGGCAAGTTCAGATTTCCTTGATCCCTCTTGGATTGATCCAAGTCAACTCACTTCCCACAATAGCCTAATGCCATGACCTCCTTTTCATTCTCAAGAGTAATTTGCTGCTCTCAGACTTGTGTTTGCTTAACAAGCAGCAAGTTCTGCTTGGCCGTTATCAAAGTCTGCCGGCTACACAATAACTCTGGCTTCCCGTCTAAAGGAGTGATTGTATCAGGGCCTGAGTGTGACACTGGCAGAATTATGTCATGTCTGGAGGATGGAATCTTATCGGGGGCTTTGTCTGAAAGGCAAAGATGCCCAGCTGCAGGAACATGACACCCCTCCTCTGCTCTGGAGACAACCCACTGCTTTTCTTTTTCTCCCACCCCCATTTTTACATGCCAAGGAGAAATAGTCTCTTCTATTTCCAGATATCACTGAAGCAAGGAAGGGCAAATAGATTCAGAGACAGAGGTTATTAACAGGTCAAAATACAAATTAAAAATGGAAATTGAGTACTATTTCACATGAAGAAAAAGACACACAAACACCCACACCCACACATACTTCATATTCTATGAATATATGTTTTTGCTAAAATATTAATCAGAAAAAATAAACCTGAAAAGAGGGTATTTTGGATTTTATAATATAAACAAGCCTTGTCATCTAATAGTTTTAAACTGTTAGTTTTCTAGACACAAGATACAATTGGCTGGAATTAGGGGAAACACACGCACACGCACACGCACACACACACAACCTACTTGGTCCACTTAGTTTACTATTCCCTATAATCTACAATGATGGACCACAGTTCTTTTATGTGAATTCTTGTTCTCTATGATTGAACTATGGACATCTTCCATTGCTCTCCATGTAAAATTTGCAGATTCTGACTTTGTTCTGATAATTTTTTAATTCCCATGAGGTAATTAAAAAAGTGAAATAGAGACATGCACAAACATGATTATGGCCAGATTCAAACCCTCAGCTGTCCTCAAAGATTTATGATGATATAAGTAACAGTAACTTCCTCTTTTTTATTTTATAATTGGAGGAATAGATACACCAAGTGATAAGATCTTAATTAGAACCTCAAGAGTTTGTTCAGGATAAAAGACTGGATACTGGAAACTATTATAAGACTAACTTGCATTGTAAAGCTTAACTTCTCTACCAGGACTGAAAACGAAGTTTGAGTTGAGTATTGTATGTTTCTCTCTTGTGAACACAAACACACACACACACACACACACACACACACACACACACCCTATTAGGATGCCATTTGTATTATGGCAAGTACTCCTTATAATCTGGGAAACTAACCTAAATGATAGCTAGGTTGACTGAAACATCTATTTGCCACATGCAGTGAGATACCAACCCCCAGGTTATCATTAACCTTATTTTCTATTTCAGCATCTTGAACTTCCCTTCTGCTTTTCTTGTACTGAAGCCACATGCATGCAGCTGCAGACCTATTTCTGCAGGCTTATAATGGAACAGACTGGTCACATGCTGTTGTCACCAACCCACACATCCTTATCCCCATCTCAGCAGCTAAAATACATTGTTCTGAGGGATGGAATCTAATTCTCTAATCTTGTTTAATCATCCATGCACTTTGACACATTTTATGTTAAATTATCTGTTTACTGTGCTGAGGAACTATACATTCTCATCAAGAGAAACTATAGCCCACAGCTCAAAAGGAAAGCCATAGGGGCAGAGGAATATCTTGTGCTCAAGAAGGTGGAATTCATCAGTCCCGACAGACTCAGAACCACTTCATCATAACTGGAAGCAACATAATAATGGATACAAAATGACTCAGATATCTATTTTCTCCACTTTGGGTAATGGCTAAAGAAGAGATCACCTTACTCGTGGAAGATATGGAATACCCATACATTTCATTGAATGAGCGATAAGAATTTTGTCTTCCACACATTATTATAGTGGAAGCAAAAAAAGAAAAGAAAAGGATTCACAAGTCACTCAAATATCATTTTATTTATTTCATTGGGTCATGTCAAGTTACCTCAAATACCCAAGTACATTATATAGCACAATATATTATTATCTCCCTCTTTACCTTCACATATTAAGATCTTCAGTGTAGATTTTGTGGAACATGGAATGAAATAAGGAAACTCAACCATGCTGCTACTGAATCACAGAGTGAATGTATTGACATGCAATTGTATATAACCTCTGTAAAATTCTTAATATCAAGTCCACATTCAGAATACAAATAAAATACAACCCAGTTCAGCCATAAACACATACTGCTTTTCTAAGAATAATTTCGAATTCAATCCTATATGTCTTCTACATTTAGAACATGTACATGCATGCACAGACACATACATACAACCAACACGCAATTCCATTCTGTGGTTAGCAACATTAGACAGAGCACAGAAATGATGTCAGAAATATAAGGCAAAGAAATTAAAGTGGGAAAACAAAGATATTCAATTAAATTTAATCTACACTAACATCATCGCTATTTATTTATTAAATTTATATGCCGCTGATCTCACTATCCAAAGGAACTCTGGACTGCTCACTATATTTTTCCATACTCTCTCTGCAGACCTTCCTTATCTTCCTCATGGCCATATAGTGCTTCACATATTGCCTTTTCTTCACTAGTAACTTGTAACCTCTCCTTTACAAGTTAAAGTTGAGGAATTCATCAGTGTCATCCAGCAACTTCTAAATCTTTTCACTTTTCCTTCATTATTTATATTGCAATGTACTTCTCATTCATTCGTTACATATGATCAAATCAAATCAACAACTTTTTTACATACTGGTCACTTTTGTACTTCTATCCATACATTTCCTATTAATTCCTACTTATTGTTTCTTCTGGTTTTAACCACATACACTTCATAAATAAATATATTCTCATTGCGCTAGACTCCTGTGTATTACATAACATGTTTAGCTCTTAATATCATAAAATACAATCAATACAAGTAGGNCAAGTAGGTAGAAACACACTTACCTATAGCCATTTTTCATTTCTTTCTATAAACATAATTTTTCATCACACACTACATACTACCCACTACATTTATACAATTAGTATTTCTTATTTTTTTCTGACTTCATTCATTTCTCCATATTTATTAATCATTCTGTTAATAGAGTTCCATGTTTCTTTAAAAAGTGATATTGTTGTGAAGAATATTATATATCCCAAAGCTATATTTAAATCCTAGGTTAAATTTTACCTTCCATGTAGCTGTATTTCTCCTGAAATAGGCAAACATCCGTGTGAACCAATTGTAGATTTCATTCAATGTTAGCTGCCTGTCAGGCGTCTCAAGGATAGCCTATATTTAGACATGAGAAAAAGTCATTTTCAGATATAAGACTCAGCATTTCTCATCATCATTCCTGGGTGAACTACTATTAAAAATATCAAAAGCGACTGACATTACGGTATGGTTACAAAACTTTCAACCACTTGTTAAAAATGCTGAACTTAGGACAAGTGCATACATATTTTTTTTTTCACTTAATGATTAGAAAATGAAGTGAGAATTAGTGTGAGCAAAGTAGCCATGTAGATTCTATATTATCAAGTTTTCCCATGAAATGATGTTACCCAGAAACCACAGGTTTTTAGTGAATTGAATTTATGACTCAGTGAGCTATATGACAAAGCGTTGAGTGTAACATACATATTTGTGAACCAATCAGTTGACATTCAAAAATGTAGAAGTATCTAGGAATGACATACTGTAACATCAATACTTAGCATTATTTATTCCAAGACAAAGCAGTAGAAGCCAGTAAAGGTAGGTATTATGGACACAATAATGTATTACTATGCAGCTGAGTAGCAAAAGAAAATGTAAAGAACATACTCCAAGGTCTTTTTATTAAGTTGTATTTGTATGTTCCGAGAAATTCAATATTTGCTAATATTAAATTATTATTAATTCCAGGATCTGATACACAAATTTTCCAAATACAGTAAAGTTAGTTCTTTCAATATTTTATTTAAAAAAGTAACCAGACCGTCCAACCTATCCATTTATTTTCTTTGTCTGAATGTAGAATACCATTTTGTAGGCTTAATGATTCTAAAGTATTTCTTATTTTTTTAAAAATAAGTATTGTTAGTTAAATTAAAAATTACTTTTAATTTTAATTTCAGTTTATATGGCTACCTCTCACATAAGCCAGTAGATCTAATAAGGTCATCCATCTCACATAAAAAAGTAGATCTAATCTATGTAGATCAGAAGTAGCAGTGCTCAGGGAATACAAGTTTTAGATAGTTCCATTTAGCAAAAGATTCCCTTATGCAAATATAACAATATTCTGTTCTACATACAGTACTGTAGGCTTAAGTGCTGAGAACAAGATCTGTTAAATAATGAGTACAAAATTGCTAATTATTATTCCCAAAGTACAAAAATGGAGCAGATTAAGCAAGGCAGGTAAAGTAATCATGTCTCCAAACTGAGAATTGTACTATACAGACAAAGACAGATTGTCAATATGTACTCAAGCATTCTTCAAAAACTGGTCATGATTCTTATGCCTTTGTTTCTAATTATGTAGCAAAAGAAGAAAACCTCCCTAAAATGATTCCTTCTTTCTTCATTTCATTTTTATTATGTGTCTCAGAATTTAGCAACGTCAACTGAGAAAAGATAACATGATGGCTTTCAAGTTTACTAACTCAGATGAGAAAATGCTTCAGGCACTTAGCACAATCAGCTTTGGGTGGTGGTATAGTTAAAAATGGAACACAATCAAAATTTGCAGGATTGTGAATATGATGGAGACAGTAAATTTGTATCAGCCTTTAACTCAGCTAGGTTGGGATGTCATTTGATCTAACCTAATATTTCTACACATGTCACTACCTGCACCAAGGGGAACATATTTGGGGGAGCTGGTAAGTGAGAATATTTGTTTAAACTTTCAAAGCATCTCTTGGAAAAGTTGATCAAATCAGAGATATCCCAAAGTGGTTAATCTGAAAGACCTGAAAATAAGAAGAATAGGTTCCCAGGAAATGATCTAATTCAGACTTTTTGCATAGGCTTTAAAAGACTAATGCTAAGAAGGAGATAATAGGAGTAATGATCTTAGCTTCTCCTTCTGAACATATTTTAAATGCAAAATAAAGAGTTTATAAAAGCATTTAGTTGGCCCGAAGGAAATAGGGCTATAAGGTCAGAGCCATGGGAAAACATTGTAGCCTACACTCTTAAGCTACCAAGCTTATTTCTATTCACTGTAAAATGGACATGCCAGCACTATACAGTATTATTAGGGAGCAATAGCAACCATCTTCTCAGGGAATTTAGCTTTTTTTTAAAAAAAAAAAGTTATATTAAGTTTTTTTATGTAAAAGTAACATAAAAATAAAAAAAACTAACAGAAAATTAAGTTAAGAAAAGGAATAGAATAGAAGACAGAATAGAGAAAGAAATGAGAACTGAACTTTTTTGAGGTTGTGCTATAGAAGTTTGCAGTTCATACAGGACATTATGACCCAAAGAAAATGGTATCTGCTCTGCCAGAAAATTAAGATTGGAAGAAGAAATCAGTAGTCATGAACGACTAATATGAATATATAGGAACTCTATAGTCTTACATAACTGAAGCAGGTGATTATACTGAATCTAAAAATCAGAAACATTTGGTACAAATGAATCTACAGTAAACATTGACCTCTTCCTTGTGTATAAAGGGACAATATATACAAATAGTAAATGCTTGAGTATGATTAGTTAAATTAAATTAACCTACTAATTAGTATTAATAAAAATATTTCTCTCAACAAAATTTATCAGAAAACAGCATTAATCAATAAATGTTATTTTAAAGGGAGAGTTTTGTTATTCAGTGCAACGTTAGCAACTCTGAAAGAAATAACTTTAACATTACATTGCCGTATGTCTGTAAATTCAGGAAGACACTGAAGGGCAGATTTTTACTAATAAGAATTGAGCGTATCACTGTCATTCTTTTCTTTTAAAAAAGTTCCTTCTCTACCCTTATTCAGGGAGCTATTAACCTGACTATATAAAGCAGTGCATTAAGAAGCACTAAGGTCAGAACTGCCAAGAGCTGTCTGATCCGAGCAGGATACAACTATAATTATAAATAATTAAAGAGCAATAAAAACTAGAGATACAACCCAACCCTTATGCCTTTGTCTCTAGGTCTCTTCACACAAAATAGACAAAAGAAAAAAAAAGAATATGTATCTGATTCATTTACCAGCAGTACTAGAATGCTTAGTGAAAGGCACAAACAAAGGCTTAAGACCACAGATAATTCTGCTCTCAAAATGTAAATCAGTAGTCAAATCTGCAGCTTAGCCAAACTGTATTCCCCAGAGTTAGAACAGAAGGCAAAATCTTAAGAGTATGTTACTGGCCCATTAGAAACACTTTTACAATTGAGTACAATTAACAAGTGTGGGCACTTTCTAAGGATTGCTGCTTTTTCCAGATATCAATGTATTTATGTACATTCTTACAAAATAAAGAGGTTTTTACCTGTCGGATAAGTGAGGCATATGTGAAGGGAGGGCGGACATCTGCATTTTTGTAAAATTCATGATTCTGTGCAAGTTCTAGACAGAAGAAAGTAAGTTATAAAAAACAGCAAAAGACATTCCAAACGATCAATTTCAGCACAATATCTGATGTAACTGAAACTTCTCCCCAAGTATCTCACCTGAGGAAATTGGTGTGCAGAACTTCTCTGAGTTTCTCCTGCGAATAGGCCCTACATTGTGTAAAGTGGAGGAGCTGATAACAGAAGGACCCTGTCGCAATGGAGTAATGGGTGCAGTTGCAGAGGTGGGGGGATGAGGTAATCCATCAGGAAAGGTATCAGAAGTGCTTTTGGACATTGTAGCGCTGGAAACCAGATTCAGCTACTCAAGGAGGATTAAAAGAAGACTATGGTTAGAATTAGTCCAGAAGTGGGTAAACAATATTTGTTGAGAGAAAGCAGGTGGTGATCATAATTTATCAATAGAGATTACACCAGTGAAAGTAAATATATGCCAATGAAGCCTCATTCATTGACAACTGGTTGAGACAGATTTCAAGATATTAGAACCACTGTATTTCAAAGTATATTGGACCAAGTCATGGTAAATTGATTCTTGAAACTTTTACCAACGTTAGTTATAACAAAGCATGTTGGTTGGTATAGGAAAAAAAAATTACCACCTAAAACAATATACTCCCAATTTTAAAACAACAACAAATCCCTAGTATTTGTTTTGATATAGACAGATTTTAAGAGGAATAATTTTCAGTGATGATTACCCAACTCTATCACCTCAAAGTTCAGCATTATTAAATCTGTATCACAACTAGTGCTAAAGTTAAGGAATCAGGCTTGCAAAAGTTTAAATTGCTCTCTACAGAGAAGAAAAAATGGTGTACTATTATATATTGAGAACAGTATACCCAAATTCCTTACTATTGTAAACTGATTTAAATTTTCATATCAACATTGAATCACACACTGCAGTAATGGACCAATCATCCAACTGGACAAGGATCTGGATCTTATTTTAATATTAGAAATATCACAATTTAGGAAAGTTGTTTTAAAGAGTAGAAAAAAAGCAGATACAGCTCTTGTTTCTTATAGATGGGAATATCGATAGGAAAAATGGCTGGAGGGCACATTAGTGAATGTACAGAACTGAATCCAAGGAAGTGGATTGGGATCTTTCAAGTATGATATCAGTTGCTGTAGTTGGATCACTGGTCTTCTAACTTATTTGAGCAAACAAGGTGGGAATAGGAACTGGATCTGAAAGATAATAATGCTTTTTTGAAAGAGAGGCTTGTGCTAACAATCTTGAAGGAGGAATTATATTACCCATCTCTAGAGACAGACAAATCTGTGACTCTAAAATGGTCACAAATCTGTGACATTCATGTGTAGCTATGGCTACACATGAACGATCATTAGCAGATATAGTGAGAAGGGTCTTGGCCACTTGAAACTAGTGTGATCATTTTTCTGGGGATCAGGTCTTGACATAGTTGCACATGCTTCATTCATATTCTTACTGGACATGTAGAATACAATTTATATGGAGTATCTCTGAAAAGCCTACAGAAGCTGACCTTGGTCCAGATTGCCTTTACATCATATAAGAGCTACCAATAGGATTGCAAAACTTTTCTTTACACTAATAACTGATTATTAACCCTTATGCATACAGTGATTTTATGATTTTGATTATTATGCAGTTTCCATACATAGTTTTTAACATGAATTTCTCTGGTGGTTTTGAAATTAAAAACAGATAATTTCCTAAAACAAACAAACAATCACATTATATCAGTCCTGCAAGAGCTCCACTGTTATCAAATAGCTTCCAGGTCTAATTCAAAATACTGGTGTCTGAGATACATAACCTAGCATGTTTCTCCTTCCTGCATTTTGCTTGCTAAAAACAGAAGGGGGAGGGGATTGTACTTCCTGTTTATCACAAAAAACATGTTTGAAAGGGAAAAACAAGTCTTCTCAATGGCTGCACTCAGACTAAAAAATGTTTTACCCTGGCAGGGGCTGCATCTTTCTTTACTGGTCTTTATTATATGCTAAAGACAATTACACTCTAAGTTTTCTTTGTGTATGGCAGATATTGTTATAGTTTGATCTAGCTCCTTGACTGATCGATTTATACTATTTTTTTACAATATTTTTTTGCAATGTTTACATGATATAAACCATACTATTTGATGCTTTTGGCAAGAGAGATAGGACATAAACATCTTCCAATAAGTTATTCTGAGGCATTGGTAGCAATATATTTTTTTACTCTTTCCTCAAGTTATGATTACAGCTGCCTTCCTTCTCATGGACTGTGGTAACAAGGTCCAAATGCCATATGGGCAAAATGCAGAATAAGATAGTAAAAGGAAAATATTAAATATTTAGGTTAACAATTCAAATTCTTCTAGCAGAGTTCCTAGCAAATTCTTCTAGCAGTGGTGTAGGACATCATGTCATAAGTTGGCTTTTCCTTAGTAGCCATATGGAATGCTGATAAACACGTAAATGGGCAACAGATCAGGAAGGAGCCAGTGGCACACCCTACATGTAAGTTCCTAGCTCTTGTTAGTATCAGTCATGACATCAGGATTGTGTCTGCTGTCTCCATATTTTCAGATAGCAGAGCTTTTCAGCTCTTGTTGGTAGTCCCTCACTTAAGCAGCAGTGTATTCTTTCTATTATTTTTCTCAGTTCAAGAATGACATTTTCTTTTCTATTAATGGAGTAGATCAGTGATTTTGGCTAACTAGACACAACTTCTAAGCTATGCTGTCTGTATATAGAAAGAACAGATTAATACTCCTAAAGTAGACTTAGTAGAGGACCTTTATTTTTATTTATACAGCATGCCAACTACATTACAGTGCTTTATGAAGTCACATGGAGGCAAGTCATTGCCTGGAAGAGCTTACCTAACCTTTGGATCAATCTTCTAGGAAATCATGAAGTCTGAAACTTTCAGAAGATTTGGAGGCAACCATTAGAACAAGAGCATCACTATGATAAAACTGGAGTACTGTTGCTAATTGGTCTGTTAGTTATTATACTCTCATCTGACCTCCATGATTTCATCTGAAGCGAGTAATCTCCAAGCATTCAAACAAGTTGCTTGAGAAAACAGTAACATCTTATTTAGCCTCTTCAATAGGAACAAAAATCTTTTTGTCTTCCACAGTATCTTCACGCTGTCATCTCAAACTCGGGTAGCTCATAATGTGCTCCGTGGAAACAATACCTCCACTTTGAACTTAATAATAATGTCACAGTCAACACTGGTTTTTCAGCCCTGAATCAATCCCCTAAGATGATGACATCATCTTTTAGAATAATTCCTATTATAAAGATAAGTTGGGGCATATGTGTCAGAAATGACCAGACTTACAGGCTGACTGAAGGGTTTTGGCTCTGAAGGTCTCATATGCAGATGGGCCATCATTGCCTGGAGACGTTCACTTTCTTTAGCTAGCTGTGGAGAGAACCAAACAGGAAGTTATTTGTTTGGAGGAAACATCCCTTACAATGGTCCATTTATTTAGAAAAAGGGCCAAGATAAAAGTTCATTTGATAATCACTCTCTAGAATGGCTCCCTTTCCATCAGCAGGAGCCAAAACCAGCTACTTTAGCTTGTCCTGTTCAGCTTCAGAGTACGCATGCTCTCCTCTCATCTTGACTAATTCTTCTTACATGCTGTAATGTGGCATTACAAAGCTGTTCCTTTAACTCTTGTCTTGCTGCCTTTTAGAGCATACCTGAAAGGGAAAAACTAGCTTTTCTTATTCCTTAATATTATGACTCTGGCAAGAGCAGTACATTTCCAGGCCACTAAATTATTGTCTTTTACAAGTGGATGTCAGATTCAGGATGCATGTAAATGTTTTCAGTTCTGATGCATCTACTGTAAGGAAATTAGTTTTGGTTGTACAGAGACAGGCTATTATAAGCAAGTAAAACTATGTCCATATGCAGAATTCAGCATCCACAAACACCTTTTCACTCAGTTTTTCTTCTTCACATCCAACAGAACTTGGTTTATTTTCTCTACATGTGTCTGGTATTAGCATCCTGTCCCATAAGGAATGCTGCTGGATTAGATCAACCATCTTTCTAATATACTTTCCTCTCAGAAATCTGTTCATTTTTCTCTTGTCTTTCTCAACTTATCCATTCACCTGCCTACCCTACCTCTCCAGTTGTGCAATATTATTTTAGCTGCATGCTTTATGTTGTGTGAGAGATTTTCTTTCTCAGGGTGTGGGGAAGGGTGAAATCTGTGCTATGGCACTGGAGAGACTGGGTGCTGTAAAAACAGTGGGACCTGCAGTATCTTATTGTCACCTTCATTTTCTAAATGTTCAAACTTTTCCTTAGTTCCACCCAGACCTAATGGGTCCTGAGGCAGACTGCAGGATTTATGCAAAAAGGGACATTTATCTCCTTATGAGGTCCAGAATCCCTTCTCAGAAGAAAAAAATGAGGGCTAAAAAGGCATGAATTAAATGCAGTGTTGAGTTTGCTGAAGGCTTGAGAGGTTCTGACACAAGAATGACCTGGCAGTATTGTGGCTTTCATTATAGCTGGCAGATCCATTCCTGTGATGCACTGTAGGATCTCTGCAGTGAAAACTTTGTAATAGGGAGCAATGGCATGTTCTTCTTTTCACACATACAACTTTCTGCTCTCTTAAAGAATTGTCTCCCACATAAGGATCAGTAATTGCTTGAAAGTCTGTTTGAGAGTAGGACAAATTCACATAGTTGACTGAAGGCTATAAAAAACTTAACTCTGCTCTTTAAATGCACTTTCTTAGTCTGTTTTACTTGGCGTAAATGATGCATTCTTCTAGTCAACCCCATTTGCACCCACTGATTTAATTTAACTTTCATAGTGGCCTCCACTATGTTATAACTGGCTATCTCCCTGGCAGTCTCTTTCCTCTGTCACTAATTCTGTTGCTGCAGAGTCATGCCCCATGAAATGCTCCATCCCCATCCCGCTCATATATAATTCATGTAACAACATGGATAAAAAGAAACTCCTGCTCCATCTCTCTGGAATTCATCAAGCAAGCATCAGTATTGGCAGAGCCTGCAGAAGAAGTTTAAAAACAAAGGGCATTCCCTGTTACATATAATAGATTACATGCTGTTTCACCACATCCCATACATTTAACAGCCATTTATAGTTACCTCCACATGGACACTTTCTCTCATCACCCTTTGAGATGCTAACTTTCAATCTGTTAATGTTACAGCCTTCTGTCACTGTTTATAATTTATGGCCCTCAAATAAATGTTATAGTTGTTACATGACTGCCGTACAGATCAGTAGCAGGGTACCACTTATCCTTACTTGTGCAGCGGTAACATTCAAAAGATGAAATGTGTGACATAAAGATATTGTGTTGCCTGTTTTTGTTTTTTAAATTCTTTCCCCTTCATTGGCAATCACTTTTGGGAGAATGTGAAAATCTGCATAATTTTACATTACTAGATATTCCCAAGTCAAAAAGAAAATTTTGCTGCTGCTGCTTTCTGAACATAGCTACCTAGTTTTGATAAACCCATTACCCACATTAAGAATCTATAAACTCATGACACATCATAAAATATGATCAGTTCTAGAACCATAAAACAAAACTCAGGTGAGGGAAGATTGTGGAAAATCAGTTCAATGCCATATAAGCACATTCAGCTAGCACTGCTGGATTTATTTGTGGTTGGTTCACACAACTCAGAATCTTTCAACATGTGAGGTGTTCAAATAATCAGCCTATTAAATCAGTTTCCTCTGCTCTGTAAATTGTGATTTTTCTATGTTAGAAATACAACATATCAAGTAAATCGTCCACTATGTTTTTGCTTCCTTTCATAGTAAGTTTTCAAAGCCACAGTAGCCTACCTTGATTTGACAAACATGTCACTAATGAGAAAACCTGCTACAGCAGAGCAAATCATGAAACCTCAAGCTGCTCTTCACTAAGGGAGTTTTTCTCTCCACATGAGCAGTTCTCTAACACATGATGAGGTATATGCATTGTGGAGTGGAAAAATGAGGTATGAACCATGTGGTATTCAAAAGAGGTATAGCAACTGCCATTCTTGTAACAATGACACATGTTCCATGGTGACTGTGGCAACTATGCCCAAATCCAATTTGTACTTTCCATTTTCCATTTACTATAATCAAGATGGCAGAATGCAATTCAAAAATTACAATGGTTAAATAAAGGAGTAAAAACTATCTAGGAAATAGCTTTTAAGTAAACTTTAAATCAGGTAAGTGGATACTCAAGGCTACAGCTTCTAGAACAGTGGTTCTCAACCTGTGGGTCGGGACCCCATTTGGGGTCGATCGACCATTTCACGGGGGTCGCCAAGCAAGGCTGTCCGCCATTTTTTGTCCGCCATTTTTTCCCCCTTTTCCGGCGGGTGCCTTATCTCCCTTGGGCTGGGCCAGCTGGTGGTCGGCCTCCTCCGTCTCTGCCGCTTGCCAGCTACGCCTCGGCCGGTGCAGGGGGCGGAAGCACGCATGTGTGGCGCTCCCGGGCAGGGAAAGTCCTCGACTTACGACCGGTTGGGTAGTCCTCGACTTACAACCGGTTTAGTCCTCGACTTACGACCGGTTTAGTCCTCGACTTACGACCGGTTTAGTCCTCAACTTATGACCGGTTGGGGTCGCGGCATTAAAAAGGTTGAGAACCACTGTTCTAGGATGTTTTACAGAATTAAATATATCTTATTGCATACATTTATACTGACCTGTATTTCCAGCTGCTGTACCACTTGCATTTGAACTCGACACTGAGCCGTACTCCGGTCATCAAGTGCATGTTCTGTATTGAGGTGTCTAAAAATGGAAAATATCAACTTTTCTCTAAGGATTTGACATGAGCAGTGCCTAATTAACAGAACTCATTTATGCAGTTTTCTTTTAATGTTTTATGTTTGAGAGCTGCAATCCAGTCTATGTTATACAGTTACATTTTCCTATTTATTAGATTTTCATTCTGTTTTTCTTCTGATTTGCTCAAAGCAACATTACGTTTTTCTATTTTATCATGACAGTAACTGTGAAAGATGTCCTATGGGGAAATAATTCTTAGCTAGTCTATCAGTAACTTTGATTCAGTAGCCCAATAAATTGAGCAGGGATTTGTCTCCAGAACTTCCTCTTTCAAAGCTAATTCTCTAATGGCATATTATATATACACAACACATTCAAGCCAGGTTTTTATAGTTTGAAGGGATAAGACAATCAAAGGAATAGGTGGAGATCCTGAATCACAGAATCACAATGTCGTGTTTACAAACCAATTAAACAGAATAACAATTCATCAGTCTCTATATTTTTTTTAAATTTTTTCATCTTGGTGAGATGGATTAAAAAATAGGGGCTTTTCTTCTATTTCTTAGCAGCAATCTCTCTGCTGAAGACCCCTAAACAAACTTCTCTGGCTGAAGAAATCTGCTGTGAAGTTCAGGGCAATGACTGAAGCATCACACTTATTGCTATACTAAATAAAGCCAGAACAAACCTGAACTTAGAGATGCAAGCTTTGAAGTGGAAATTAAGTTCTAAATAAAAGTTATCCTAATGTCAGCTAATGAAATAAACTATATCTCATTGCAAGATTTTTGGTTTAGTAATTAAACGACGTTCTGTGCCGTATTAGAGAATCACAGCAATGTCAAGATATCCTTTTTGTGAAGACTGAGATGAAGGGAAGCATTCTCTAATCTTGAGAAGACTTTGAAGGGGCAGAGAAAAAATACACATATATATGAAAACAATTCTCCACTTGCCCTCCTCATTTCAAAATGCAAAATGCTGGAAGGAGTTTGGAAGGAGTATCCAAGTCTGTTACAGTTGACACTTGTTGACTATATAAACTATTCCATTAGTAAAAGGAAGATTTGTTGAAATGCTCCGTTTGCAGAATAACATTACACACTGTCTGATTAGGCACACAGGCTGTGCTTCCCAATATCTCCCGCCTTCTTAACATCATTACCACCCCCTTCCCCAACATTCTGTTCAAAAAGGCAGTAGAGTGAGAAGTGTGTGTGTGTGGGGGTGAAAACAAGCAGAGGTATATGTGCATGAGGGAGGGGGAGCATGTGTAGTCACAAAGCAAAGAAGGGGAGGGGAAAATCCCAAAGAGGCAAGGAAAAGAAAACCCGTCAGTTTCATCTGATGTCTTTGCTAAAAATCTTGGCTACAAAGAGATCTAATTGCAAATGAACTAATTAAGTAAACCTCTGACGAAGCGTGAAAACAATTTGTTTGACCCTGACGCTAGCAGAGGGCTCTTAGACAGCAGAGTTAATCAGTCAGTGACAGAGCCCACAAGCGGTGTCAGCAGGCTGCCGTGCTGCCATCTGTTTCTCTCTAGTTCTCTCCTCCACCCCCACCTTCCTGCCTTTCTTTGCCTAACATGGACAAGTTATAAACTTTGCTGGTCTCCTTTCTGTAGATGCCCTCATCTTCTTTTCCTCCTGTCTACACCCCTTTTGTACTTCTTAGTGTACAGCCATAGTGCCTCACAGCTTTCGACGTTCTCTCTATTAAGTATATAATGGGAACCTAACTATACTTCACAAGTGAGGGTCAGAGTGACTTACTTTCATTTCATGGAATTTTGAAAACCCATACCGTGGTCAATGTTTCTACAAATAACAGTGGCAGATAGCTCTGCTTCAGTTCTAAAAGGGGGTCAATTGTCAAAACTTGCTAGGCAACTATTTCTTTAAAGCAGGGGTGTCAAACTCGCAACATCACGTAACGTGTCGCGACGTATCGTGACTTTTTTTTCCCATTGCTGGCAATGGGGTGGGCACGGTTTCGGCATGACGCATCCGGCCTGCGGGCTGGCAGTTTGACACCCCTGCTTTAAAGGTAGCAAAACTATCTTCTGTTATCAATAAAGGAGAATATTTGTAGCTCAGGATTGAAATGAGGGGTCCTTGGTGCTCTCTGAGCTTACTTGTTTTCTTGCAGACGTTTCATTACCCAAACTAGGTAACCTCAACAGTGCTAGTACGGAGTGCGGTTTGCTGTCAGTTTATATTGTAGAATAGAATATAAGAATATATAGAATATTCTATATTATTCTAGAATATAAACTGACAGCAAACCGCATTCCTTACTAGCACTGATAATGTTATCTAGTTTGGGTAATGAAACATCTGCAAAAAAACAAGCAAGCTCAGAGAGCACCAAGGATCCTTTATCTTTTGATATGCCAAAGTTAACTAAGTACAGCATAGAGGAAACCATCCTCATGATCCAAGAGCAATAATTACTTTCTGTTTCTTGTTAATACATTTAGCTCTATACTGGGCTACAGATTAATGAAAACAAAGTATAAGTTTGGCTAATGAGCATAGCAGCTGAAGCGGGTCACTTACTTGATAAACTGTCCCAAGTCCTCACAGAGGGTTTCACATCCAGGCCATTTGCACTCCCCATGTCCATACAGGGGATGTGAGCCAGGAGTCTCCTCATGAGAAGAGCTGTAAGTGGGGACAAAGAAAAAGAAACTAAACATTACTGCTGAGCATTAAAGGCATCTCTGTTCTGCCAACGAGGAAGTATAAAGTTGGAAAGGGGATATTTCCCCCAGTCATTCATATCTCTGATTTTTGGACTAAGCATATGTTATATAATGCATTTGTACTGGTCAACAAAAGAAACATCTACTTGGAAATTTAGAGGAATTTGATATGCTTTCCAAATTGGCAGAAGGTGCATTCCTTATGTTGAGCAGCTGTGATCTGCAGTCATTCATCTGCATGATCAAAACAGGAGTGCAGACAAGTTATTGTTTAGTAGCTCAGACATAAATCTTCAGATGAATGCTAGCAGAACGAACTTGCTCATCTTGGTTCATCTTAGCTTTATCCTATAGATGGGATGGCAAATGTGACCCTTCTGGAGAAAATGTCATCCAGCTCAATTTTTTTATTGCATGCAGATTACATACATTCAGAAACTGTCACCAGTTTGGCCATACAAATTATCTCAAAAATTTTAAAGCAATGATTTTAACAATAAAGTTGCAATTATATATCCTGATATGGAATATAACCAGGGTGCAGAGTTCAGTGCAAAAGAATTCCATTTTTTCCAGCAAAACAAAAACAAAAAACGGCAATCTGTTTGGCACATCCATATGTATACACAAAAAATTCCAAAGACAGAAATAGTCATTCTTTTGCACATTCACCTTAAATGGACTATCAGATGGCTCTAGTGTCCTAGACTGGAGGCACTGATGTAGAACATCATCACAATGTACTTTGAAATCTATGTGATGTTGACAACTTTACTGACCACCAGCCTTCCTCTCATTGCCATGAGTCTATCCCAAAAAACAATTTCAAGCCCTTACATTCCTAGCTGTCTGCTAGAGTGCAGAAAATCTGGGAGTGTGGGAAATTCTCGAAGGGTAACAGTTTCACTTCTGGCCATTTCCCTGACATTAGCAAACAAGTTGATTAGTGGGGAGGATGGGCAATCTTGTATAATAAAGGAGACCTCACTTAACTGCCTCATTTAGCAACCATTTAAAGTTGCAATGGTATTGAAAAAAATAACTTTATGATCAATGCTCACATTTATGACCTTCACAATGTTCCTCAGTCACATGATCACCATTACAGTCAGTATGCATTGTCCTGTGCCTGCCCTGTCCTGATCTTTGTTTTTGTTTCCCCCTTGCAGAGTGGAGAGATTGGACAGGAAGAGAGTAAACAATGGGGAATACACATCAACAGAAATGCAGTGGCACAAGCAGCTCTGGGCATTCTTGCAACTCCCAGCCCCAGCAGGTATATTCCCCATTGTGTGACTGCCTACTTTCTTGTAATCCCTTCCTCTCCACTGAATGTAAATACAAGCATTAATTCCCTTTTTACTAATTATCAATTAGTAATTAACAGTGACTTAACTGCCCACCTAGCAACCACTTTGCTTAAGGACAGAGCTGCCAGATTCAGTTGTAGTCACTGAATGAGGATTACTTGCAAACTGAAAAACAGCCCATATTTGAGCTATTATGGAAAGAATTACCCCCACAATGCTGTAGCTAATTAATTTTACATTTTGAATTCGGTGACCTTAAGGGGAACTTTCTTTATTTGACCATGACTATGTTCATACATTGCACAGTAACAACTTTTTACACCATGGTTTGCTCAACAAGACAGAATAAGCTTTGCAGATAAGCAAAATAATCACGACTTGTTTTGTCAGTTTTTGGCTTCTTTTGTTTCCTTTTGGACTGTTTTTGCTTTGTATCTTGACAGCTTGTTTCTTTTGTCCCATCTACTATCATTCTATGCATTATATTTATTTCTACAAATCTGATTTGTTGGAACAAAAGAAAAAAAAAGGCTTCTGATTATATACCATTTTGTTCAGAAAATTCAAATCATAGCACTATCATGAATTAGTTTAACTTCTCTGGTGTCCTGATACTGTACACTGATATTTGGGGACCTATACCATTTTTATTGAATAAACAAATATTTTAATTCAAAATAAAAATAAAATAAAATGAGCCTCTGTAACTACATACATACTTATCCAGGCACCTTCAGATATTTTTTTTGGGGAAGAGAATTATTACTTTCTAGATACTGATATAGGACCTGTTTGGCAACTGATGAAATAGAATCAAAATCTCAAAGCTGACTTCAGGAGGCCCTACTCTGTAGCCATAGGTTACTATCCTAAACTGTTAAAATCAGAATTTGATTCTAAACCCATTTGCTGATTCTATACCAAGTTGAAATGCAAATAGCATTAGTGCCTTAGATTTGAATGTAGGACATAAAAATAGATTTTAGGGTTTGTCCTATTATACATGCAGACTTTAACATATAGAAGTTCTATAGAGCAGGGGTCCCCAACTTTTTGGGCACCAGGGACCAGTTCCATCCTGGTTGGGGACCCCTGCTATAGAGAGATTAAATCTGCTTTTTTATAAAATCTATATTCTTTTCACATAAAGGTCCATTAGCTTCACCTGTCCCTCCTTTGTGCGAGCATGGCGTTCTGTCCATTGGGGAGAGGGTGATGGGAAATTGGAGGAGAGACCTTGGCAGCCGAAAACGAGGTAGAATTCGAGGTGTTGGTGCTGAGGTCAAGTCCCTCTTGCTTGATGCTTTCTTCTACAGGTTGAGTAGCAGTAACCTCTTTCCACAGCTGCTGAAGGTCTGAGGGACACACAGCTTCATAAGTGTTGTAGGGGGAAGAGAGGGAGAGAGGACATAGAGAGAGATTTATTTATAAGAATTTCAGAACAACTCTACAACTGTGAAGGTCTGGCTCCCCAATTTAATTAAGTGACAAAAAGGAATTCATTTATATCAGTCTCTTATACATAGATATTATTCTCTTAATAAAGGAGAATATCTGTAGCTCAGGGCTGATATGAGGGGTCCTTGGTGCTCTCTGAGCTTGGTTTTCTTCTTGCAAATGTTTCATTACTCAAACTAGGTAACATCATCATACTAGCATTGATGATTTTACCTAGTTTGGGTAATGAAATATTTGCAAGAAAAAAACAAAGCTCAGAGAGCACCAAGGACTCCTTACATATAAACTCTCCACATTGTTATTAAATTGCAGCACCTGAGCCTTTTACAATACTTAAACATATTTTAGAGCAATACTGCATATATTTCAGTCCTCTGCCATTTGCTTTACGAAAGTACCACAAGAATCTCAACACTTAAGACAAATCATCATGAAAAAAACAAATCCACACTATAAATCACTTAAATATTAAGTGTTTTAAAATCAAGAAATATGAATTCCATCTAACCTACTACTTTTATGTAAATTATGCCAGAGGAAAATACAATCTAATATTCAGAATGAACTTTACATTTCAGACTAATTGTATATGCAGGTCTTGCTGTATTCGGGTCTTTTCCCGTGTAAGATGAGAGTATCTTGGTGACGTTTCGACGAGGTCCCACTCGTCATCTTCAGGCTGGGGTCTTCGGCTTCGTGCTCGTCTCTCTATAAATATTGGTGTGTGTGTGTGGAGTGCTGGCTTAGTTGCTGTAGGTGGATTGGTTGGCTGTGTGGGAGCTATTGTTTGCGGATTGTTCAGCTGTTTCGTAACATCTTGAGTAGTTGAGGTGCTGGCTGTGTGCCCATTAGTCTTTTGTGTTATAACGACCTGGGTAATGGGTTGTGTGATTACATCCTGAGATCTAGTGTAGTGATATCCTGAGTTTTGTGTTGCAACATCCTGGGTGGTTGGCTGTGTTGTAACATCCTGAGCTTTAGCATTGTAACCCCCTGAGTTCTGTGATGTGGTGTCCAGAGCAGAAGGCTGTGATGTAGCATACCAGGCTTTGGTTTGGCTCCGAGTTTGCGGTCTAGCTCTGTGTTCATGGCGTTTGCTTTGTGTGGGGGTTGGAGGGAGGTGCAGCAGCTGGTGATGTCGTCGTGGTTTGGCTTCTGGATGGTGGTTGTATTTCGTATGAGGGATGGGTTTGGGCTTGGGTTTGGGTCTGGTGAGGGTGAATGTTGGTGGCGTACTGTGTTGTTCTGGGTCCAGTGTCAGTTTTCGTGGCTAGGACTCGTTTGTTGATTAGGGCTGGTTTCCAGATGTCTGGTAGGCGGGAGGTATCGTCACGTTTATTCATGTTGTGGGGGGTGTTTTTCTATTTCGATGGCTTCCATAATTATTCTCTTGTTGTCGGCAAGATACTCTCAATCTTACATGGGAAAAGACCCGAATATGCCAAGACCTGCATACCTGTACCCGTGAAAATCTACGAAAACAAATATATATATATATATATATATCAATCATATGATTCACGAGTGCCAAGAATAACAAAAAAGAAAGGGAAAAATGAAAAATGTGAAACTCTCATGGGATCATATGTGATAATACTGACTTTCATGTCTGTGGCCATTTTTATTTTTTAAATAGCTATCATCTAAGGACATAAATGTAGGACATAAATTGCACTTAGGATCATGCCTGTGGCCTTGCATAAAAT